TATATATTCTAGAATTGTGATGCCTCTGCCCTCCTAATTTATTCAGTCATGCTTTTGATGTGCACAAGCGGGTTCTTATCATTGTTTGTCATCTGGGAGTTTCATCTCACCCTGGGAGAGCTTTGGCTAGATGTTGAGTGCTATTGCATCAGCCAGGAACATAGCATCCCCACCTAACCCTCACACAGAGGGAGTTCTCTGGAATTTCAGTTGCCCACAACCCTCAAGTGTATGACAATGAAGCCCTGGAGAGTAGGCTGAATAATTACCAGAACAATTTGTTCAGTACATTTCATGCTCTTCCTGTAAAGCTTTGTCTGAAATTTTTGGGAATTGTTTTCCTATTTCTTTCTTGTTGTTCCTTTCTTTTAGGCCACAAGATTTCTCTTTGATTCATTCCGTCCTTTACCTCCTAAGCCTAATTAGATGTTGTATTATGTGAACATTTTCTTTAAACTCCCCCCCCCCAACCCCCAGTTGTGTCTTCAGTGCCCATGAATTTTACCTAGCACAGCCTATGTTTGTTTATTTATTCGGTGCTGGGGATTGAACCTAGGGGTGATATAACACTGAGCTACATCCCTACCTCTTTTTATATTTTTATTTTGGAACAGGGCCTTGCTAAGTTGCCCATATTTTCCTTGAAAAATCTTTCAGCCTCAGCCTTTCAAGTATCTGGGATTATGTGTGGGCCACCATGCCTAGCTGCCTTTGTTTATTTTATGCCTAGATTTTCACAATGGCATTTTATGTGCATTCTCTTACTTACTCCCTAATATAGCAAATAATTTTATAGTCTACTTCTTAGTCAGTTTTCTGATAACAACATGCTTAATACAGCTTTCACTTTTTTTTTTTTAAAGAGAGAGTGAGAGAGGAGAGAGAGAATTTTTTTTTTTTAATATTTATTTTTTAGTTCTCGGAGGACACAACATCTTTGTATGTGGTACTGAGGATCGAACCCGGGCCGCACGCATGCCAGGCGAGCGCGCTACCGCTTGAGCCACATCCCCAGCCCCTACAGCTTTCATCTTTACTGATCTGCACTGCCTATTGTAAGCAAAAGTAACCAACATGGTTTTGTTACCGCTGTTGACCGGTGACGAGTTCTTGCTCCCTGATGTTGAAGAATAACACCAAAGAAGCACGCCGAGGCAAGGTCAGAGTAGAAATTAGACATTTATTAAAGGACAGCAGAAAAGACTTCTCCCGGAGGAAGTGGGGACCCAGGAGGTAGAATCCGTGGAAGTGCGGTTGTTTCCCCTTTTTATAGTTTTGGTGATGGAACGTAGGTTGGAAGGCCCGAGGGGTGGGACACAGGTGGGCCAAAGAAGTAGTCTGAGCAGGAAGGACTTCATTATCACTTCTTTGTGATGGGCTATCTTCAAATCTGCTGGGGGCTATTCATTAACACTTCTTTGAGGTGGACTTTGGCCTAGGGCCTCTTCAGGACTTCATTAACATTCCATGAGTTATCCTGTGTTTTCCCTGAGTCATTCCCAGCATGGCCTTCATTTTAGATTCCACTCGATATTAGACCCGATTTACCTAGATTTACCTAACTACACTAACTACCTAACTTTAAATCTGGCTTCAGTTTCAGCACCATAATGAAAATACAAATAACTGTGACTGAATCAGATCTCAAGGGGATCAGCAAGCTTTTCTTTTATTCTGCAGCAGAGTCAATCAGGCATGGGAGGGCTCATTTCTGGGTACGGAAGTGGTCCTTGGGTTATGAAGGAGTCCGAGTTTTATAGTTTATCATGAGGGTGAATTAATCATAGGAGACTGTGGACATATAGTTTGGACAGTCCGGGACCTAGTTGTGCAGGTTAAAATTTTAACCAGGAAGGCAGTTGTAAAAAGTTTGAGACTCACTGTCACTGGGAAAAGCTCAGAACTCTGTGTTCACTGCTTATCTTCCTTCCTCTGGGACCCATTGATATCCAGAGCTTTACTATTTGCTTTTCGCCTTCCAGGACTCATGGGCAATGGGAAAGGGTAAAAGTCCAGGGCCCAGTGTTTCAGTATCCACCTCCTCCCTTCAAGACCCATTGTGGTTGGGAAGGGGTGAATGTTTGCTTTTGGTGGAGATGCTGGTGGTGAACCCAGGAAAGAATGAGAGTTTGCCCAGTGTTACTGGAAAGGATATACTGGGAGAGGTTTAATGTTTGTCTAATTTCCCTCCCTTCTCTGGAACCATACTGTTCCTCCGTTTCTCTCAGGGGGATATCTCGTAGGAATATTATTTTCTATAACTCTGCACCTATAACACAGAGTGCATCTATTTGTAATAATTTGAAAATACCTATAAACTATTTCTTTTATCATAAAAATCTTTCTCCTGAAGTCCCCTAAAGAAACTTTTCTTAGCCAAGAATGCTATTTGTTCATTCATTTTCTCCTCTATGTGCCACAACCTCTCTCTGATCCCATCATAGCATTCCACGATAAACATAAATGGAATGCTTTAATATCTATCTCCCCAAATGTATTCTCTAGGTTTCATTTTGAAACTTAATTCCTAAGGGAGCCCTTATAAATATTTTCCCTCACACTAATTTATTAATTCCTGAAGCCTAATAGAAATCTTGATAATTATTAATAATTACCTAATCATGTTCTGCTTTGGAATTTTTTTTGTGATCTATGTGTCCTGTCTCCTCATGAGGAACACAGGGAAAGAAACACATTTCTCTATTTTCTCATTAGCACTTTTGAGATAGAACAGTATAAGTAGAGGAAGCTATGTTCATTTGAGTAGCTGAAAGTTAAGAATAACGATTGATTTCTCTGTTCCTACTGTCCTTAAGTTTAAAATGTGGATATTGTGATTGGTGGTCCAATAATGTAGCCTCCTGGGTTTCAATCATTTCTCTCATTTTTTACTTGAAATATTTCCACTTCATCAGAACATATAACATTTGCAAATTAATCTTTAATTTTCTTCTTATGGTTGTTTTAGTCTTGGGTGTATATTTTTGGTAAATTAAACTATTCATTATCTTTTTGCTGAAGTTCTCCCAGTTATCGCTTGGTTGACTGAGGTTCATTCTTTAATAGATTGCACCAGAGGGCTGATAAATACAAAATTCCTTGAGTTTTCATGTGTTGAACATTGCTATCATGTGGCCTTCTTCTCTGAAGGATTCATTGACAGAATATAAAATTATTAAGTTACATTTTGTTTCACTGAATTTTGTGAAACATATTGTTCCATGGATGGTTTGCTTTGTGTGTTGGCCACTTTGTATGCTCCGTTGAAGATCTGTTGACAACTCTGATTCTTTTGCCTTTATAAAAGATTTTATCTTGCCAGAGGCCTGAAAAATTTATATTTATATTTTAAACAAAAAGTTTTACTAATATCTATTTCAGAATTGACTTTGTAAAATACTTCAAAGATTGCATTTTTAAAAAAATTTGTCCATTAAATTAACATAAACTTTACATTAATTCCAAAAAAGACAGTAAATGATAGAACATTATATATTATAGTCTTGTTATCATATGAAGAATTCTATGTACTTGTTTCCCGTGAAGGTCTTATAAGACTTACAAACCTCACATTTTCTTATATTTACAATCTTAGATTTTTCCAAGTAACTAGCTTGATAAATTCCAGGCCTAGTGATATCTTTCTCTATCCTCTTTTCCAGAGTAATATTTACTGGACACTTAATTATATCAACAGCTTCTTATTAATTTTTTGGTCATGTATTTTATCTCTTTGCATCATATGTAAATGCATTTTTCTCAAGATTAGAAATTTATTTGGAATGGACAACAATGTCACTATTTTGGATTTAAACTGAATTCATTTGTGCTAAGTTGAACTGAATTGACTATTCTTGCATATTTTTGTGTTTAAACTTGCATTTCTGTTGTTAAAACAGATAGAGAGGGAACTTCCTGATAACACACATTTCTTCTTAGAAAGTTTCTGGTGCATAGTAATCAATAATTCTCTATTATATTTTTCTTTAAAAATGAAACTGAGTCTGTAGAAGATAGTGATTCTCTTGGGCTGAATTTGCCCATGAACTTTTGCAACATCAATAGAAGCATCTCTAGCACTTAGGGTGTCCTAAGGGTGAAGGACTACCACTAAGATGCTGACAACATTCTTAGAAGAAATATATCTAGGTGTACTTCAGATGAATTTGATTATTATTATTTTGATTATCTTGTAACCAGATACATAGCCTGTGGCACCCTACCCTACACTCATACCCCCAAACTATGTAACAAACGCAGGAGTATGCCAGCATATATACTAGCCTATCATCTTAGATGATCTGCTTCATTAACAACCCTGGAAGTTCAGGGAGACCTGGTTTATATTTGCAGAGCAAGGAAGGTTACCCTTGATATATCTATATCATTTTTATCAAAGTGAAGCTTTGTTCAAGCTTAGAAGATTAGATATATTCAGGTTATGGCATATTTCACATGTAAAGACTCCCTCATATTAAGGTGAAATTGCTCCCTTAAGTTGAAGTACAAGTTTATCTCCTATGTTAAGCTAAAAGGAAGAGAGAAGAAAATATGGAAAATCAACTTACTTCCTTGAATTTCAATTTCTCCACAGTTTCATGAGACTAATGATACCTATGTCACAGAATTGTTGTCAAGTTTAAATCAAATGATTTGCATGGAGATTATTAGGATCAACACAGGGATTAGAAGCTATCATGTACATGTAGTTGGATGCCACAGAGATGGAACTTTTGTGTTGAAGTTTTCTTATCTTGGATCTTTCCTTCAAGCCGATACCTTTGTTAACAAAGTTTTCAGTGGTAATGAAGGGAGACATAGAAAGTCCTATTTGAGATCAGTTACAATGTGGAACTTTCCAACTTTTGCCTCCCTACCTAGGAGTCCTTTACTCTCTGTATGAATCCTTCTTTCTCATTCTGTCTTACATCTTCCCAATTACTTGGTGTCCAATCCTTGCCTTGAACTTCTGTATCCCCCCATGTCTATGCTGGGTGAGGTCAGTGAGGCTGCACTTCCTTGAGGCCTCCCAGCCTCCGTAAAGCTGCTTTCATCTCTTTGTTGCGGAGGGTGTAGATGATGGGGTTGAGCAGGGGAGTGATGACTGTGTAAAAGACAGCTACCACCCCATCCAGGGGTTCCTGTGAGCCAGGCCGCAGGTAAATGAAGGTGCAGGGCACATAGTAAACAATGACCACAGTGAGGTGGGCTGCGCAGGTGGAGAAGGCATTGCGACGCCCATCTGCTGACCGGATTCGCAGGATGGCAGCCACAATGTAGCCATAGGATGTGAGAATGAGCATAAAGCATGTGAGGGCCAGGAAGCCAATGTCCACAAAGGTGACCAGCTCATTGATGGTGGTGTCAGCACAGGCTAGACGCAGCATGGCAGGGATGTCACAGAAGAAATAGTCAACTCGGTTTGGGCCACAGAAGGGCAGCCGGAATATGAAACTTGTTTGGAAAAGTGAATGGATGGTCCCTCCCAGCCAAGTGCCAAAAGCCAGGTAGTTGCAGACACTCCGGGTCATGATGGTAGCATAGTGTAAAGGTTTGCAAATGGCCAGGAACCTGTCATAAGCCATGAGTGTGTAAAGGAAGCATTCAGTGCAGCCCAGGAAATGGAAAGAAAAGAGTTGGATTACACAGCCCCCAAAGGAGATTGCCCTATTATCCAAGAGAAAGCCAGCCAGCATCTTGGGGACAATAGCAGAGGAAATGGTCATGTCCAAGAAGGAGAGGTGACATAGAAACCAGTACATGGGGCGGTGGAGCCGGACATCCACCAAGACAGTGAGGATGATGAGCCCATTGCCAGACACGGTGAGGAGGTAGATGACAAGGAAAGCGAGGAAGAGCGGTAGCCCCAGCTGCGGTGGGTGGTGCAGGCCCACCAAAATGAAGTGCAGCACAGAGGTCTGGTTTCCACTTTGCATTTCTTTGCTGTTCACATCTGCCAAAGTAGTAGCAGAAAGAAATATTTTATTCCTGTAAAATCTCTTAGCACGGTACATCTACACTGTGTCATTTTCAAATAGTCACAAGAGAATCAATCAATCAATCAATCTCTCTCTCTCTTTCTCTCTGGCTCTTGTTCTTCCTTTTGCTTTCTTGCTCTTTTATCATTTTTTTTTCTCCTCTCATTCCCCCAGCTCTTGATTCTGGGACTTTACTTGATTCCAGAGAATGGTCTTTGAGGTTAAAGCTAGCTGACTATATGTACAATGGTACCTCATTATCCACAATTTCACTTTTCAAATTTTCTGTTATGTTTCTGTTATGACCCCCGAATTTTGTTTGTGTTGAGTCCTTTGAGAGAGAGGGTAGGGAGAGAGAGAATAAAAGAGAGATACAAGAAGCAAGGGGACCATCTTTCATGTTTTATTAAAGTATATTATTATCATGCAAAGAATGATAACCATTTGGGGAAAAGAAAAGTGAAACTTTACTGAGCAGGCAACAGCTGAGTGGCATCTGAATGATTAATAGAAACTTTTTAGATTTCAGAGGAACAGGCCATTCCTGATTAAAGAGGCTGATGTATAAGGAAATAGGAAATGCATGTCTTGTTAGAGCCTGGTTTGTGGAATAGAGTTCTGAGAGACGGCAGAAGTAGGTCACACTGGATTTGAAGACTTTGTTCCCACAGGGTATGCCAGTAAGTTTGGACTTCTACTTGGGCAGTGCTGTACCATTGTAAGTTGATAATCAAGGAAGCATCTGGGAAATCACTAAGCATTGCCTCCTGTTTCAAAATGGATTTTATAGCTACATTTTGAGATATTTTTTAAGTTTCTATGAAGTTTTAACACTTATTTAGGATTATCAAAAAGTGCTGAGTCCCAGAAATCACTCAGAACCTACCAGTCAACTTGTCACTGGGAAAAGTAGGCTCTGTGATGGTAAAATGACAGATCCGTGGGCATCTATGGTGCAGGTAGAAGAGAAAGAGTAACTAGATGGTAGACATGGCTGCCATCACACTTCCACTGGCCACTAGGAGTCCAGCTGGAAGACCTGTTTCATGTCACACCTCTGAAGCCTGTGATTCTGAGTTGCCTCTGAACCTCTGTGAAAGGAACATGCCATTTGGATGTTTGCCTCCAGTTTGTAAAGTGACCATGAGAAGGAGAGAATATGGCACTATGAAGAATACCCGACATGACACCTCACTGTGCAGGGCTCTGACACTCCTCAGACACTTCCCTGATTTTTTGCTGTCACTGAGGTTGATGCTGTTCACTACTAGTCCTAGGAGAAGAGGATCTTTGTGGTACAGCTTCAAATTTAAGGGCTTTGATCTATCATGGAGCAACTCACTGGAAGACCCAGGTTCATTTCAGAACTGAGGCACCCATGTGAAGACTAAATTTGCCTGACAATGTAGGACTGCAACACATATTTGGTAGAAAACTGTATTTAATGTTTATTGAGTGCTACTGTGAATTATGAGAACGAATTTATTTAATCCTTATAACAATCCTATGAAATAGAGGCCACTATTAGGGTTCCACAAACAATTGTAGATACAAATCAAAAAGGGGAATTGGCATTATCAAGTATAAGTAGGAGGGCTGGTATTTTTAGCCCAGTAAGACTTTAGAAGCCATGGTATTAAGATACAATCTATTCTTCTCTACTGTATGGATAGACAGGCAGATGGACAGATGGATAGTGGATGGAGAGATGGACTAAAGCAATTCAGAAATAATGAAAATACAATCAGGTACTTTGGGGCTAGAATTTTATACTGCTTCACTATCCTAAAGGATTTTAAATAGGATGAGCATTTTTATATAGAACTTTTGAAAATAGATTTATTTTAGCTAAAACTTCAGAAATTGTGAATATATTAATTTCAATGTATATTCTACATTTTTACATTGGGCACATTTAGATTAGGAAATTTAATTTGAACTCTTGTGTTCTTAGGAAATAAATAATACATAAGCTATCTCTCTGGTATGCAAATCATAGATCGAACCGAAGGAAAATAACAGAACAGACATTTCTCCATTAACTGATTTGAAGTGTGTGAGATCTTACTTTCTGGTTTGGGAAGCTCTGTGTGTGGCCTTTCCTTCATTCTCCCAAATTAAATACAATATTCTGCCCCTGTCCATGGGGCATGGGTTCCAAAACCTCTATGTACTTTTTTCTGTCTGAAAAGTACATGGAACCAATCCCTACATTGATTATGTTCTTTTCTACATGTTTGTACATGATTAAATGTAATTTTTCCATGGTACTGAGGATTTGTGTTTGTGACAGGCTTATCATAAGCATGTTTCAACTTACACATGTGTGCTATTTACTTGTGTGTGCCTACTTTTCCCATTAGGGTGTGAGTTCCTTAAGGACTATTTTCTTTTTATTTCTATTCCAGTTTTGTGGCATTATTTTCACATAAAGATCCTCAAATAGTATTGAACAAATGAGTTTCCCTCTGTGTGGATATCCCTATGACCTAGGCAGACAATATCAAAGATATATTAGTTAGATATTGTAATCTGAGTTCTAAAATCTTATGAATTATAGTACTAGTACATCACTACTTACTTGCTATATTATATACAACTCTCTCAAAATT